GATCCCCAAGTGAAGAAGACAAGGTTGGAAAACTCAGAAGAAGTACAAGAAGGTGTTCCTAGACAGAGACAGAACACAAACAGAGAGACAGCAGCTGAGGGAGAGGACAAAAAAGCGAAAGGAGATAGGAAAGGAAACAAGGATGGAACCAGCAGAGGTCAGTCAGAGCAGAACAGAGAAGCAAGGGCAAGCACACACACAACTATCCTCAGAACCCCACAACCTATCACACAATCTCCAACACAAACTAAAATCCATAACACAGCGATCCACCCACCCCCCCATCATAGAATCCCACAGTATGCTACCAGGTCTCCCACCCCCCACGAGGCCCCTAACCACAGTATTGGAAAGGAACTGAAGAGTTATGGTACACAAACGCTGATGGAATAACAAACAAGTTGGAGTGAGTGTGCACGAAAGGTCAAAGAGACATCCCCGGACATCATAGCGCTCCACAGAAACCAGCTACATTATGATAACAGATGCCATCTTTCCAACGTATACAGATTCTGAGGAAAGAACAGAAGGAACAGGGGGGTGGAGAGAGTGGACACTGCTGATCAAACACCGATGAATTTTTGAAGAGCTGAGAGAGTGACAGCGGAGAAAAAGTGATTACATTGCGGAACGCTTCACACTTGAGGTCCCAAGGTGGTAATTGCAAAGTGATTGTATAACCCCACAGAACAACAGGAGACCATGCTGAGGTAATGACGAAGAGCAAATTGAGCGATGGTTGACACACTGCTGCAGTGGCCCAGAAGAGCCATGCATGCAGTGCAAAGCTCCTGATCATGGGCAACTTTAACCACAAGGAATCGACTGGAGAACTTGAGCCACAATGGGGGCCAAGATACATGAGGGCTAAGATGATGGAGGGGTACTGGAAAAATTCATGTACAACACATAAGGACACTAAAGAGAGAATGTGAGGATGAGCCAGCAAGACTGGACCTTAGTATCCACCTGATCAGTGCAGGATATTGAGGACCATCACATATGAAAGACCTCCTTGGGGCTAGCGATCAATTAGGTTTTGAGCTTCGAAGACACAGTAGAGCTACAATGGAGGGGGAAGCAGGAAGGCCATGACAGTATGAATCCAAACCTACAGGAAAGGGGACTACACGGAATGAGAACTTCCTGAACGAGGTTCAGTGGGACAGAAACAGGCATGGGAAAGCCAGTTAATGAATGATTGAAATATGTAGCAACAATGTTGCAAGGAGCTGAAGAGAGTTTTGTACCCAAGGTAAACAGGAATAATGAAAAAGCCAGGATGAGCATTGTTTCAGCCCAAAGTGCAAGGAGGCAAACAACCAAGTGTGCTAGGGAATGGAAGAAATATAAGAAAACAAAGGACGCAGAGAATAAGGAGAGCAGTCCGTAGAGCCATAACAAATTATGCATAGGGGGGGGGGGGGATAAGAAGGGAGGCCCAACGGACAATATAAAGACGACATAGTCAGCGAAACCAAATCAGAACCCGAAGCGTTATACAGTCCACATCAGAGGAGAATCAACAGACAAGACCAGGTAATCAGGCTAAGGAAGGAAGGAGAAGAAGACAACTAAAATGACCGTGAATTAATTGAGAACTCAAGAGAGTCAAAGAGTGTTCACAGAGGAGACAGAAGGGGCTTCCATAGGGACGGAGAGGTGTGGCACATCACCAGGTGCTGGGACACGTACACACAACCGAGGAAGAAGTAGAAAGGCGTTCTGAGTGTAGGATAGATACGCTCGAAGGCAATGGGGCCAGATAACATCTCTTCCATGGGTTCTGAGAGAGGGAGCAGAGGTGCATGTGTAACCCTAACCACAATATATCAATTACATCTATCGACAACAGGGAGATTGCCTGAGCATGGAAGACAGCAAATGCATTCCCAATCCTTTAAAAAAGGAGACAACAGAAGCACTAAACAACAGACTCAGTCACTGACATGTATAGTATGCAAATCATGTGAGAAGATTGTCAGGAGAAAGAGGGTGTAACCACCTAGAAAGGATGAATCTCAATCAACAGCACCCAACATGGTTTTCAGAGTTGGGAAACGCCTGTGCCACAAACGCTACGTGAGGTTACTATGGCAAGGTGACAGCAGTAAGACAAGAGAGAGAGGGGATGGTGGATTGCATTTTAATCTTGGGACTGCAAGAAGGCCATTTGACACAGTACGCGAGGACACAAGATATATGCAAAAACTGTAGGACCAAAGCAGGGATAACAGGAAGGCACTACAATGGATCAGGTTACATATTTGTCAGAAGACAGCAGACGAGTAAATGATACGTTGGCGAGGTCAGAGTGGGCACCTGTGACCGAGCGGTGGTCCCCACAGGGTCAGTCCTAGGACCAAGTGCTTTTTCTGGTATGTGATGAAACATGACAGAAGGAAAACCTCAGAGAGTCACTGTTTGCAGATTGAACGTGAAGTTGTGAGAAGGAATTCATTCGACGAAGACAAAGTTATCAGGGCAGAACTAAAAGGGATCTGACAGGCTGCAGACCTGGTCCAGCAATTTGCTCCTGTATTCAATCCCACCAAGTGCAAAGTCATGAATATTGGTAGGGCAAAGAAGACCGCAGACGGGAGTATCAGTCTAGGGGCCATAGACTACAAACCTCCACTCAAGGAACAAAGATCTTGGGGTGAGTATAACACCAGGCACATCTCCTGAAGCGACACATCAACAAATAACGCTGCAGCATATGGGCGCCTGGCAAACCTCAGAACAGCATACCGATACATCTTAATAAGAGTCGATCAGGACGCCTGTTACACTGTTGTCCGTATGCCCATATTGGAGTATGTGCCACCAGTTTGAACCCACACCAGCCAAGCAAGTAAAAGAAACTAGAGAAAGAGCAAAGGTTTGCCACAAGACTAGTCCCAGAGCTAAGAGGTAGGTCCGTACGAGGAGAGGGTTAAGGGAATATCATCCTGACGACACTGATGACAGAATAGAAAGGGGTGGACATGAAAACGACATACAAAATACTGAGAGGAATTGACAAGGTGGACAAAGACAGGATGTTCCAGAGATTGTACACAGTAACAAGGGGACACAGTTGGAAGCTGAAGACACAGATGAATCACAGGGATGTTAGGAAGTATTTCTTCGGCCACAGAGTAGTCAGGAAGTGGAATAGTTTGGGAAGAGATGTAGTGGAGGCAGGATCCATACATAGCTTTAAGCAGAGGTACGATAAAGCTCACGTTTCAGGGAGAGTGACCTAGTGGCGACCAGTGAGGAGGCGGGGCCAGGAGCTTGGACTCGACCCCTGCAACCTCAACTAGGTGAGTACACACATGCACACACATGCATGCACACGCACACACGCATGCACACACACGTGCACACACACGTGCACACACTTGCACACACACTTGCACACACACGTGCACACAAATGTGCACACACAACACACACACACACACACACACACACACACACACACACACACACACACACACACACACACATACATTCTCATTTTGTATACTAGGGATTGTTTGTGTTTGTGTAGGGCACAATGGTAGAGGTGAATGGTGTTGAAGGAGAAAGACTGTGGTGTACACAGTAGTGGTGAACTGTGAAGAGAGAGACTGCTATAATCATTGGTGGTAAAAGAGCCTAGCAGTAGAGAAAAACACTTGCCTTCCTAATAATGTTAACCAGTAAACACTCCAAATGTATATATACGTTTTTTCAACATTTGAAAGTATGTAAAAAAAGTAGATTTTCTTTTTCTCTTTTTACACTTGAAAACGTGTAAAAAAAACTGATCTACATTTTTTTTTTTGTTATACAGTGGACCCCCGCATAATGATTACCTCCGAATGTGACCAATTATGTAAGTGTATTTATGTAAGTGCGTTTGTACGTGTATGTTTGGGGGTCTGAAATGGACTAATCTACTTCACAATATTTCTTATGGGAACAAATTCGGTCAGTACTGGCACCTGAACATACTTCTGGAGTGAAAAAATATCATTAACCGGGGGTCCACTGTATTTGAAAATATGTAAAAAAACGTAGATCTACTTTTGGAGCACTACACATGTGAACGTAGATCTGCTTGGAGCACTACACATGTGAACGTAGATCTGCTTGGAGCAGTACACATGTGAACGTAGATCTGCTTGGAGCACTACACATGTGAACGTAGATCTGCTTGGAGCACTACACATGTGAACGTAGATCTGCTTGGAGCACTACACATGGAACGTAGATCTGCTTGGAGCACTACACATGTGAACGTAGATCTGCTTGGAGCACTACACATGTGAACGTAGATCTGCTTGGAGCACTACACATGTGAACGTAGATCTGCTTGGAGCACTACACATGTGAACGTAGATCTGCTTGGAGCAGTACACATGTGAACGTAGATCTGCTTGGAGCAGTACACATGTGAACGTAGATCTGCTTGGAGCACTACACATGTGAACGTAGATCTGCTTGGACCGTTTACGGGTTAAAAGAGGTCACCACTGAGGAGAGAGACTGTGGTTTACAGAAAGATAATGTGGGGGTGGTGGGGAGAAGTAGAAGAGCTCAGTATTGAGGGAGGGGGAGGGGTGGAGTGGGGGAGTGCTTAGTACTTGTGAAAGAGAGAGCTCAGCACTGCTGAGCTCTCTCAGGTAGCATTTTTTAAAAATATATTTCATTTAATTTTTTTTGCATTATAAGATTTAGTGGGATACAAGAGAGCATTGTCAATGAGTGGAACTGTCTGCCAAGTAGAGTTATAGAAGCTAAAACCTTGGGTAGTTTAAAAAGAGATTAGACAAATATATGAGTGGGAAGAGCTGGTTTTGATGAGTACCTGAGGTATTGAAGCAAATTCTTGGGTGGCTTAGATTAAAGGTTAAACAGGTGGATGGGATTGGTTGGTTTTGAGAAGGACCTGCATACCTCAGATACTTCTTTATTTACCTGATTAAAATTGAACCATATCTAGTGTTGATTTTTTTTTTTTTTTTTAGGCAAAACATCTCTCTGCAAAGCCTTGGCTCAGAAACTGAGTATCAGACTGGATTCAAGATACAAGTATGCTCAGTTTGTGGAGATAAATTCTCATTCCCTTTTTTCCAAATGGTTTTCAGAGGTATGTATCATATTAATGGAAAGTTTGTATTGCAAGCTATTCATTTCTTCATACTTGCAAGTACTATACAGCAAACACTACTAAAAGTATCCTTAGTAAGAAGCAGTTTTAGAAATATCTTTAATTTTAACACAGTCCCTTAGCAAACATGTACCTGGACCACTGTATTGCTTTTGCCGTATGTTATCTTCAGTTTACAATTGTTGCCTCAAAAATCAGTGTTTATACTATACGAAGCACTGGAGGCTGGAACCTCTGACATCTAACAACAGAGCAGACACAGGCTTAACCTGGCTATGGATATGCTGTCTTCCCATCTGTTTTCTTTCGTAATTTCTGGCAGCTCATTTTATGCAAGAACAAATTTCTATCATAAAGTTGTTCTTTTACTTTCAAGGTTTCCATATTCTCTAGGTGTTCCACTAGTCTTTTTCCTTGTTATCCTTTGTATAACTTTACAAGGTATGGTTATGAAGAATACTGATTGCTGGAGCAACCTATGTTGACAGAAAATATGTTTTCCTTTATAAAAAGGCAGTCATCCCCAGACCATTTTTATATTTATTTTTTTATCTACTTTTCTAACAAAGCAGCTCCCACTGAGGTAGGGTGACCCATAACAAAGAAAAAACACTTTCCTTATAAAGAAAGTTTTCCCGTCTAAATTAATAAATTTAAAAAAGAAGTGGTTACTAGCCCCTTGCTCCCGGCATTTTAGTCGCCTCTTATGGCACACATGGCTTGTGGAGGAAAGATTCTTCTCCATTTCCAAATGGCAATTTTTGTCTCCTGTTTTACCACTCTCTCATCTACCTTTACCTCACCTATGGTATTTGTGCATGGGGTTCAACCACTGCAAATCACCTTAAATCTTTAAGGGGCCGACGAATGTTCCGGGAAAGAAAAAAAAATTGAAAAATTTTGGAAAAAATGTTTCTTTACCGAAAAATAATGCATAATTCTGGCAACATGTTGATCCAGTCAATATGTTTCTACCACATTTCTAAGTATCTTTTTCTAAAAATGTAATTTTTTTTTGTTCCTGCTGTCATCAAGAGGACACGATGGCAATTTGGTTTTTTTTTTACTCCAAAAATTAAGATTTTTATGATTGTACCTTTCCAAATACACTACTTGGCACCTTCTCCGTGGAATACATATCAGTGAGCAGAGAACTAGCAGCTCAGTCGCCTCTGTGCTGCCAATACAAGTTGAGTGTGCGGCTTGCTGAAATTTGGCGCTTGGTGACCATGGAGTTGTATAACTCAGGAATAAGTTATTGACATTATTTTTCGTTTTTGGCGAAAACTATTTATAGGAGTGTCATGAATTTTGCACACGTTATTGAAGAATGATGGTTCTACTCAATTTAGTAATGTATACAGGAGAAGGGGTTACTAGCCCCTTGCTCCTGGCATTCTAGTCACCTCTTACGACATGCATGGCTACAGAAGAAGAATTCTGTTCCACTTCCCCATGGAGATAAGAGGAAATAAACAAGAACAAGAACTAGGAAAAAAGTAAAAGAAAACCCAGAGGGATGTATGTATATATATGCTTGTACATGCATGTGTAGTGTGACCTAAGTGTAAGTAGAAGTAGCAAGACATACCTGAAGTCTCCAAAGAGATAGAAAAAACCACCAGCAATCCTACCATCATGTAAAACAATTACAGGCTTCCGTTTTACACTCGGCAGGACGATAGTACATTCCTGGGCGGTTGCTGTCTTCCAACCTACTACCTAGACACAGAACATTATACTCCATTATTAACCCTCCTCTCAAACTCCTCCTTGATAGCTACAGGCATATCACAAGGCACAAAAAACTCTTTGATATCCCACGTGTCCATCTCTCCCTCTGCAAAAATGCTATGCACATAAAGGACTCGAAGATCTGGAATTCATTGCCTGAACATACAAAAGGGGCCCCTGCTGCCTGCAAATCAATTTAAGGCCCACATCTTAGAAATCACGTCGCCACTCAAAATTAACCAGACAAACGCTATACTTTATCACTTACCAGTAACTCAAAAAACTTCTGAATAATTTATGATTGTTCAATTATTGAAGTACAGTGGACCCTCGCCTAACGATATTAATCCGTTCCTGAGAGCTCAACGTTAAGCGAAATTATTTTTAGCCGAATTAATTTTCCCCATGAGAAATAATGGAAATCAAATTAATCCGTTCCTGACACCCCAAAGTATGAAAAAAAAAATTTTCCCACATAAAATATTAATTTTAATACACACAAACTGAAGAAGACATGCACAGTTACATGACACTTACCTTTATTGAAGATCTGGTGATGATTGATGGGATGGGAGGAGAGGTGTGTGTGGATGGTGTTAGTGTTTAGAAGGGGAATCCCCTTCCATTAGGACTTGAGGTGTCAAGTCCTTTTCCGGGGTTACTTCCCTTCTTTTAATGCCACTAGGACCAGCTTAAGAGTCACTGGACCTCTGTCGCACAACATATCTGTCCATAGAGGCCTGCACCTCCCGTTCCTTTATGACTTTCCTAAAGTGTTTCACAACATTGTCAGTGTAATAGTCACCAGCACGGCTTGCAATAGCTGTGTGAGGGTGATTTTCATCAAAAAAGGATTGCACTTTAAGCCACATTGCACACATTTCCTTAATCTTTGAGGTAGGCAACTTCCTCAATTTCTCTATCCCCTCCTCTGGAGCAGTTTCCTCAGGTCTGGCCTCTTGCTGTTGAAGATGATCTAGCAGCTCATCAGTGGTTAGATCGTCATTGTCCTCCTCCACCAACTCTTCCACATCCTTCCCACTAACCTCCAACCCCAAGGACTTCCCCAGTGCCACAATGGATTCCTCAACTGGCATAGGATTCCCAGGGTTAGCCTCAAACCCTTCAAAATCCCTTTTGTCTACACATTCTGGCCACTGTTTCTTCCAAGCAGAGTTCAAGGTCCTCTTAGTCACTTCCTCCCAAGCCTTACCTATAATGTTTACACAATTGAGGATGCTAAAGTGATCTCTCCAAAACTCTCTTAGTCAATTGAGTTTCTGAGGTCACTACAAAGCACCTTTCAAACATAGCTTTTGTGTACAGTTTCTTGAAGTTGGAAATGACCTGCTGGTTCACGGGCTGCAGGAGAGGGGTGGTATTAGGAGGCAAAAACTTGACCTTAATGAAGCTCATTTCCACAGAAAGTCGCTCTGCCACGTCTAATACCAGGAGGCACTTAAGGTCCAATTTATTTTCCAGGAGGTAATTTTTCACAGTGGGGGGCAAATGCATGGTGTAACCAGTCATAGAAAAAGTCCCTAGTGACCCATGCCTTACTGTTTGCCCTCCACAGCACACACAAATTACCCTTGAGGATATTCTTTTGCCTGAACGCTCTGGGAGTTTCTGAGTGATACACCAATAAAGGCTTCACTTTGCAATCACCACTAGCATTGGCACACATCAGAAGAGTAAGCCTGTCTTTCATAGGCTTATATCCTGGGAGTGCCTTTTCCTCCTGAGTAATGTAGGTCCTGCTTGGCATTTTCTTCCAAAACTGGCCTGTTTCGTCACAATTAAACACTTGTTCAGGTTTCAGTCCTTCACTGTCTACGTACTCCTTGAATTCCTGCACATATTTTTCAGCTGCTTTGTGGTCCGAACTGGCAGCCTCACCATGCCTTATCACACTATGTATGCCACTACGATTCTTAAATCTCTCAAACCAACCTTTGCTGGCCTTAAATTCACTCACATCACCACTAGTTGCAGGCATTTTTCTAATTAAATCCTCATGCAACTTCCTAGCCTTTTCACATATGATCGCTTGAGAGATGCTATCTCCTGCTATTTGTTTTTCGTTTATCCACACCAATAACAGTCTCTCAACATCTTCTATCACTTGCGATCTCTGTTTCGAAAACAAAGTTTCAGCTTTGGCAAGAACAGCTTCCTTGATTGCCGTTTTCTTGGCCACAATAGTAGCGATGGTTGATTGGGGTTTTGTGTACAACCTGGCCAGCTCGGAGACACACACTCCACTTTCATACTTAGCAATGATCTCTTCATGTCCATAGTAATTCTCACCCTTTTTCCTGTAGGGTTGGCACTAGAAGCTTTCTTGGGGCCCATGGTGACTTATTTTGCAGGTGCAATCACTAAAAAGGCAGTGATAATATGAAATTTTCCGATTGTATGCAGGGAAGCGACTGCGGTGCCTGGCTTGTAAACACTGGCACCCACGGAACAAGTGAGGCGGGCTCAGGCCGCACGTGGACGCGTCTCGACTGAATCGTGTTGAGAGAGTTTTTTAGCGCTAGCCGAGGCAAAATTTTTGCGTTAAAATGTATCGCTAGGCGGATTTAACGTTATGCGATGCGTTCGTTAGGCGAGGGTCCACTGTATTACTTTGTACTTAAAATTGTTTCAATTTCCTTATTGTAAATTGTGCTAAATTGTAATACTGTAATTTTTTATAAATTCAATTACTGTAAATCACTAGCTACCGCTGTTGTAATAAGAAAAACGATGTTTAATAAAAATCTACTAGTCTCTATATCTCTAGTATTAAGTAGTCTGTAAGCATTAGGTTTAGTCTGCCTGAAATGCCCAGGCGTGATAGTGGCTTTCTTTGTACTTAACAAATCAGAATTGTAATTAGACAGAATAAACATTGCAAAGAAATAAAGTCTTTATAAATTTTTGGTGATGATAGCCTTGGCCTTTAGCTTCCTTTTGAAGTTTTGATGACATGATGACACTGGAAGCATTTAGACATTTTAGTGACATGATTACTGCCTGTTTTGATAAAATGTTTTTATATATTTTATTGTCAGAAAATGCAATCTTGCCTTAGTGAAACAAGTTTGCTCTTTTAAAAATTTCTAAGTTGCAAAGTATTTATTTTTTATATAGTACAGGAGGCCCTCCACATTCACGAGTTCCACTTTTTCGAGCTTCAAACATTCGCGAATGCCCAGCCGCCCTGATTTCATGTGTTTTATGTTATGTTTTCATGTTTTATGATTGTTCGTGGTTCAATAGCTTAAGGAAGCAATTATTGTTAGGCTAAGTAAATTGTATTATTGTATTTCCCTACAGTATATTTGCATAGAATGGATCAAAGTAGAATGACATGGAGAGCATATAAATCTGTAGGGGAAGGAAGGCGGAGTAGGGGTCGTCCTTGAAAATGTTGGAGGGAGGGGGTAGAGGTGTTGTGGGCGAGGGGTTTGGACTTCCAGCAAGCGTGCTTGAGTGTGTTAGATAGGAGTGAATGGAGACAAATGGTATTTGGGACCTGACGAGCTGTTGGAGTGTGAGCAGGGTAATATTTAGTGAAGGGATTCAGGGAAACCGGTTATTTTATATAACCGGACTTGAGTCTTGGAAATGAGAAGTACAATGCCTGCACTCTAAAGGAGGGGTTTGAGATATTGGCAGTTAGGAGGGATATATTGTGTATTTTTATACATATATAGTACTTCTAAGCTGTTGTATTCTGGGCACCTCTGCAAAAACAGTGATTATGTGTGAGTGAGGTGAAAGTGTTGAATGATGATGAAAGTATTTTCTTTTTGAGGATTTTCTTTCTTTTTGGGTCACCCTGCCTCGGTAGGAGATGGCCGACTTGTTGAAAAAAAAAAAATTGCGCATGAAAGCATTTGCGAACGCTACAGTACAGTATTATTATTATTCCCTACATTATATTTGCGCACCAAACATTTGCGAATTTTCAACATTTGCGAGATTCTTGATCCCCTAACCCTTGCGAATGTGGAGGGCCTCCTGTATCTTAATTAAAATATAGTTAAGTTTATTTCAGGACCTATTGTAAAAAATAGTAATAATATTTGGAGGTGTGGAGTTAAAAAAGTTTTATACAGAGGGCTGAAGAGGGGTTATTGAGGTGGTTTTGTCATTGAGAGAGGGTGGTGCAAAATAGAATGACTTGGAGGGTGAATAAATATGTAGTGGAGGGGAGGAGGGGTAGAGGTCATCCTAGGAAAGGATGGAGGGAGGGGGTACAAGAGGTTTTGTGTGCAAGGGGCCAGGACATACAGCAGGCATGTGTGAGTGTGTTAGATAGGAGTGAATGGAGATAATTGGTTTTTGGGACCTGACAAGCTGTTGGAGTGTGAACATGGTAATATTTTGTGGAGGCAGTCAGGGAAACCAGTTTACCGGACTTGAATCTTGGAGGTGGGAAGTACAATGCCTGCACTTTAAGGGAGGGATTTGGGATATTGGCTGTTTGTAGTGACATCTAAACTGTTTATCTGGGGCACCTCTGCAAAGGCAGTGATTATTTGAATGACAGTGAAAGTGTTTCTTTTTTGGGTCACCCTGCTTTGGTGGGAAATGGCCAGCGTGTTGAAAAAAAGATATACAGTATCTCTAAGGATAGAGTTCTAACAGTATGGTGAAACATTTACAGAGTGGCAAGTTGGTGCAGAAGATGTTTGGCAAAATTGCCGAGCTAGCTGATGATCATGCTCTGTTAGTAATAGTGCTGATTGACGAAGTGGAAAGTCTGACCCGTGCACGTGAGTCGTCTTCAAAGGGATTAGACCCAAGTGATGCAGTACGGGTTGTTAATGCAGTCCTTACACAGCTTGATCAGATTAACAAGTTTGTAATTTCATTGTACAGTATACCTTTCTTTTCAACAAACTAACTGGCTGTCTCCTACTGATCATTCACTCTATCACTGTCTTGTTATTTTAATTAACCCTGTTAATTAATGAATTAATTCTGTTGTATCACAGCTTTGAAGCCAGTGTTGGTCCTGTAGCACGATGCCATGAACTCAGCTCACTCAGATAATCAGTGAGCAGTAAATTTGAGCCTAGATATGAGAGAATGAGTCGATGTGGTAAGTGTGCACCATATAAAAATAATCCTGCAGCACACAGTGCATAATGAGAAAAAAAACTGAAAACTGTGTTTATTTAAAACAGTGACTTTATGATGTATTTTTCATATAGTTTTTTATGGTTGTATTCTCATTTCTTTGTCTCATTTGAAAGAATGGAAGAATATTTTAAACAGAAATAGACATGATTTTGATTAGTTCCAGGACTGAAAGTAGCTTGAAATCGAGCTCAAAATAGCAGAAATGTTCGATTTTTGCCGATATTCCAGACTACACAAATGACATCACTTGTCCAATACATGTCCAACTGGCTAGTCTGATACACATTTAGGAATGCACTGACATTATTTATACAATTATTCCCAATACTGCAGTAGTCTGCATAAAAGAAATTTTTTCTATTTTTTGTGTGAATAAAAATTCAGCATGAAAAGAAAAAGCAAAATATGAAAGGGTCTTTGGAGGAAATGACTAAAGAGCAGAGGAAATGTTTATTTAGTGCCAGGAATGTCTACATTGTTTATTCTGGGACCCTTTTTTTCAGAATGACAATTGTTAAATTTTATGTGAAATTGGCTGATCACTTCATTGGGTAATTGAAATAGGTAAAGGGGAAAATTTTCCCTTGTACTCATTCAATATAATAGGAGGAATACTAGTGAAATAACTATGATTTTGGCGGCCTGGAAACAATGGAATTTTCCAAAAATAGAGTGCAAAGTGGGCAAAATTGCAGTGTGTAAATATCACCAAGATCTCATTTTGGGAGAGCAAAATTCTGCAAGTTTTTCATCAAATTTTGTACTTTTGGTTTTCCCTTTTACCTTCAGAAAATGATTCTCTATCATTTCATAAGTAAAAAAAATATTTTTTTATTTAACCATTTCAGGGTCGTGCTGTGATCTATGGCTTTACGTTGAGGGTCCAAACCTTTAGGTCTACGCCAAAATTCTAGCGGCGTCAAATTTAGCGTGAGAAGGCTGGTAGGCCTACATCTGGAGAAGGGGTCTGGTGGTCACTGTGCGCACTATAGAAAAAATCTGGACGCCTGCATGGAATTGTGGGAACACCCGCCAAACTAGCTTTGTTATCAAAACCCTGGCGCAAGGAAGCTCTCACTCCCCACTCACTACTCTCTGGGCGAAATTCTGACTCTCCTCTTCACAACTTACAATTCTAAGACTGATGGAAGTTGATCTGAAGAGGAATTTCTAGGGTTTTGAACCATATAGTACCATTGTACCATATGGCACAATGGTACCATATGGTATAATGGTGCCATGTCATACAGTGGTATCAATTGGTACAATGGTATATGGTACAATGGTACCATATGGTACAATGTACCATAGGGTACAATTATACCATATAGTACAGGGTACAGGGACCCTAAGGAAGTAAGTCTGTCTAACTTTTTTGGGTTTAAATCCTAGGTTCTCCAAACATATGCTGCTATGTATGATAATCTATGTAACTTTATTTGTGTATACCTAATAAACTTATGATGCCACATGCGCTTGAGTAAGTTTATTCAGGTATACACAAATACAGTTACATAGATTATCATACATAACAGCATATGTATAAAATCCTAGTTTTACCCAAAAAAGTCAGGGTGGCTTATTTCCATAGGATCCAAAATGGGTACAGGGTACCATAAAGTACCCTGTACCAATGGTACCCTGGACCATAGGGTCCCCTGCACCATATGGTACCCTGCACCATATGGTACCTTGCACCATTTTGATATCCGTACTGTATGGTACCCTATACCATATAGTACCCTGTACCATATGGTACCCTGTAACATGATACCATGTACCATAATGGTCAGCAGGAGGTGTTGATGCAACCAGGCACCAGCCAAGACTGAGTGACAACACAAGTCACTGACTCAGCAGTTTCCAAGACAAAGCCATTTGCATCCACCTCAAGGAACATGTTGAGTTTCCTGTACACTTTGTAAATATATAATAGAACATTACTATTATACAACAATTTTTGCATATTTTTTGTTGTAAACAATTATTGAAAACCAAGATGATGAAAATATAAATTGTGTTTTATTGTGTTGAATACAACAGTACCATATAGTAACCAAATATGGAAACAATGAACCATATGGTATCATTGTGCCATATGGTACAATGTACCAAAGGTACCATAATGTCCCATTGAAACCATATGTACCAATGTATCACATGGTACCATTGTACCAAATGGTGCCATTTTTACCATATGGAAACCATTGTATTCAACACAATAACTGCACTATTATTTTCATCATTTTGTTTACAATAAACTTGTAAACAACTTTTTTGTAAGCAATATAATGATAAACAAATTAGTGCAGTTAATTGGGGTTGAAGACAATGAGTGTACACTTATACAATATACATTGTATTGGTCCACAGGCCACAAATGTTACTAGAAAAAGAAAAAAATTTAGAAAAGAAAAGAAAAAAGTATAAGAAACGTAAAATAAAAAAAAAGCGATTTTGCGGAAGTCGCTGGTGTTGCCGCCCCCCCTGTCATTTTGGGTCAACTTCCCACTGCTGTATCTCGGTAAGTGCTGTCAAAAAAATTTTTGTTTTGTTTTATTCCCCTTCACAAAAATATTAATCTTTAATTCTGTAAGAAAGAATAATATCTTTTTTTTTTTTTTTTAATTTCTTGGACACTGGGGCACCCCTTCAGATTTTGGCCTTGGACCCTGAAAGGGTTAAATTTCTTTGACCCTGGGAGCAAGTTGCAAGCAGGGGTCGCAACACTGAAAGGTTAAATATCCCTGTCATGTGGGATATCTATAAAGAATTTACGCTTTTTTCTAATTATTCTTAGTCCTTTTTTCTTTTTCACTATTCTAACCCATCATCTAAGTTTTGCAGGCAGGCCCCACTTTACAACACTTTGCTTTACAGGGGTTTCGTTAATACAGTAGTTTTCATTATACCCATTCTTCATTTTATCGGATTTCCTTCAAAAATATATTCCACCACTCATTACAGTGGACCCCCGCATAACGATGGCATCACATAGCTTATTTCGCATACCCGCTTACTTTAATTGCAAAAATTTTGCCTCACATACCGCTTAAAAACCCCTTCCCCGATTTTTCTTTTCCGAGACGCGCTCACAATGTTCCCCGCCGGGTGGCATTGTTTACCACCCCAGCCTCCGCGGTAACATCCAAGCATACAATCGGAATTTTTCCCGTATTTTACAGTGTTTTCGGTGCTGTTTCTGGAAAATAAGTGACCAGGGGCCCCCAAGAAAGCTTCTAGTGCCAACCCTGTGGTAAAAAGGGTGAGAATTAGTATGGAAATTAAGAAAGATTTTGAAGGGTTTGGGGCAAACCCCTGAGAAGCCTATGCCAGTTGTGGAATCCATTGTGCCACTTCAAAGATTAAGGAAATGGGGTGCACAGTGGGTTGAACTGCAAACCTTTATAGATGAAAATAAACCCTGACACAGCTGTTGCAAGCCGTGCTGGTAAACTATTTCAATGACAATGTTGTGGCCCATTTTAAAACAAATCGTAAAGGAACGGGAGGTACAGAGCTCTATGGACAAAATTTGTTGTGCGACAAAAGGTCCAGTGACTCTCAAGCTGGTCCTAGTGGCATTAAAAGAAGAAGGGAAGTAACCCCGAAAAGGACTTGCTACCTCAAGTCGTAATGGAAGGGATTCCCCTTCTAAACAGTAAGAAGATAATGCTCTCCCCTCCTCCCATCCCATCAATCATCACCAGATCTTCAATAAAAGTAAGTGTCATGTAAGTGTGCATGCCTTTTTCAGTTTGTGTGTATTAAAATTAATATTTCATGTGGTAAAAAAATTTTTTTTTCATACTTTTGGGTGTCTTGCACGATTAATTTTATTTCCATTTTTCTTATGGGGAAAATTCATTCGGGATAAACGATTATTTCGCATAACAATTATCCCTCTTGCACGGATTAAAAAACGTTAACCGGGGGTCCACTGTATAAGCTATGGATGAAAATATTTTAAGTTAATGTGAATGTGCATGAATGTAGTGCGGATGATAAAAAGAGTTGATTGCTAATGTTATGAATGAAAAGAAGTGGGATGTCCTAGCCTAAGCGAAACAAAACGAAGGCGATAGGCGAGTTTTCAGTGGGGAGAAATAAATGGATTAAGTCAGGAGTATCTGAGAGAGTTAGAGCTAAGGAAGGGGTAACAATAATGTTGAAGGATCAGTTATGGAAGGAGAAGAGGGAATATAAATGTATAAATACAAGGATTATGTGGATTAAATAAGGTTGGATGTGAAAAGTGGGTCATAATAAGTGTTATGCACCTCGAGAAGAGAGGAGTGTAGAGGAGAGAGAGATATTTTGGGGGATGTTAAAAGGGAAATGTGTAGGAGGTTTTGAACCAAGTGAGAGAAATATTTTGGAAGTGGAGTTGAAGATGTATGGGGTAGGTTTTAACCCTTTGAGGGTTTTCGTCGTACTAGTCGTCTTACGCGTAGGGGTTTTTGACGTACTAGTACGCATAAATTCTAAACGGCCTCAAATCTCGCGCGAAAATGCTGGAGGCCTAGGTGGAGAGAATGGGTCTGCGTGGTCAGTGTGGGGCGGGAGAAAAAAAATCTGGGACCCAGTGGTGCATTGTGGGAATGCCCTCTTAGTAAACAATGTCCACCCTGCCTCGCGGTAAGAAGCTCCTCACCCTCCTCGGCGAATTGGGACACTTTTGTTCCCCAGTGACAGTTCTAATAGTGAAGGAAGTG